TGGACAAGAACAAAAGAGTTCAAGAGGCAGGTTGCAGTGCGTTTGCGACACTAGAAGAAGAAGCGGGAGAAGAACTCGAGCCATATCTGCTACCGATCCTGAGCAGTTTAGTGACGGCGTTCCGAAAGTACCAACACAAGAACCTCTTAATCCTATATGATGCGTTAGGGACGCTAGCGGATTCGGTAGGGAGTTCGTTAGCGAAGCCGGAGCTGTTGCAAGTATTGATGCCGTCGCTGATCGAGCGATGGCAGAAGCTGGCGGACGATGAGCAAGACTTGATTCCACTGTTGGAGTGTCTCTCGTCGGTGGTGATTGCGATTGGGCCGGCGTTCGGGCCCTATGCGCCGGCGGTCTTCGAACGCTGTGTGCGGTTGGTGGCCAACAACTTAGAGGTGTATGCGCTCAGTGCAAAGCATCCGGGCGAATACGAGCCCCCAGACAAGACCTTCCTAATCGTCGCCCTCGATCTTCTCAGTGGACTCACTCAGGGTCTAGGTCCCTTATCATCCGCATTTTACGAAGCCAACCAAAACTTACAGATGGGAGGATATACCAGCAACAGCAGCAATAATGATCCATCAGCACAGGGGATGAATGCGATGTCAAATCCGACCAACAACCCTTCCAATCGACATGCACTCCCCCCGATCTTGTCCCTCCTCGGCTCCTGTCTCTCCGCCGAGTTCCCTGAACCTTCCGTCCGTCAATCCGCTTTCGCCCTCGTCGGCGATTGCGCTATCTCTTGTTACCCCCTCCTCGAATCCTATCTCCCCCAGTTCATGCCTCAGATCATTCGTCAGATCGACGCCGAAGCTCCCATCACTCTTACCTCCGTTTGTAATAATGCCGCTTGGGCTGCTGGTGAAATCTCGATCAAAGCTGGTTTGTACTTTTCCTTCTTCTTCTTCTTCTCCCCCCCTTTTTTTTATTTTGCCAAAAACAAAAACCATCCTAATAACGTTTTTTGGTTTGTTTTGTTATGAATAAACCAAAACAGGAGAAAAGATGGCGGGCTTCATCGAGCCTTTGTTGAGCCGCTTAGTGCCGATCTTGAATTCGACCCGGGTCGCCCGGAGTTTGACGGAGAATGCGGCGGTGACGATCGGCCGATTGTCGTTGTCTTGTCCCCACCTCATTGCGCCTCATCTCGATCAATTCATTCGTCAATGGTACTCCTTCCTGATTCTTAAAATACCTTTTTTTTTGTGGGAGGTGAATGGTGTTTGACTGTTTTTTTTTGTTTTTGTTTTGGTTGGTTGCTTAGGTGTCAAGCATTGGCGGAAATCAAAGATAATGATGAGAAGGATTCGGCGTTTCGAGGGATGTGTCTGGCCATGTTGAGTCCACCTCTTCGTTTCCTTTCTCTCTTTCACTCTCTTTATCTCTGGATCATCCCCCCCCCCCCCCCTGGACTGGCACTGTTACTGACTCTTATTCTCGTCCCTTCCTCTCTCTCATGCAAACATTCGTAACTGACATATTAGTGAAATTTATCCTCATGGACTTATCCGAGGCGTTTCGGCTTCTGGCTCAACGCCGTCGGCAGATGGAGCAGACCGTCTACCGAACCTCAGTCTCAAATTCAAATCCGTTCGTCTTCCCTCTCTTTTCACCCCCCCCCCCCCCCGGATTCATTTTTTTTTACTGATGTTTTTTTTGGTTGGGTTGGGTCGGGCTACAGTTGTTGCATGCGTTCAAGAACGCGATGGGCGAGAATCAGTGGGCCGTCACTTTGGCCGCTCTCACCCCCCAAACCGCCCAACGTCTTCAAGTCGCTTATCAAGTCTAATCCATTCTCTTCTAAACCAAATTCAATCTTAAAACATCTTCAAAAAAAAATAAACTTTCTTCTCCTTTTTTTTGCTTTCTCTCTACCTTCTCTTGGTCTTTTTCCACATCTCTTGTTTTCTTTCTTATCGTATCTTATTGTTTTTTTTCTCTCTCTTCTCTTTTTATCTATCTATATTTCTATCTCTCCTTTTTCTTCACTCTTCCTCTTGTTTCTCTTTTTCTCTCCTCATATTCCATTCCTCCCTTGTTACCTTCCTCCTCACTCTTCTTCTTCTTCTTTTTGACACATATATATATAATTATATATAAACTTATATATATACACGCATGCACAATTTATGTTCATTCATCTTTTTTGATTCGAACACTCATCATCAAAAAAAAAAAAGAAAAGACAGTGTGTGGATGATGATGATCTCCATCTGGTCATGAATGGAGGCGAGCGGGGGAAGGAAAGAGGGGGTTCATGATGATTTTGTTTCTGTTTGACTGGTATAAGGCTGCGTATCCATAAGTGATGTTGTGCTTTGCAAAAGGGCTAGTGGGGGAGTTATATGGAACCCGGATTTCCAGCCAGTCGACTTTTCTTTTCCATTCTTTTCTCGTCTTCTTCAAAATAAAAGCTTATGAAAGCCAACTGTCTCTCGAGTTCATTGTATTCAACACGCTATTTCAAGGCTTTAATGGGGATTTTGTGCACTCAGTCATGAGCTGGAACATGGCAACAGGTAAAATACACAGATCAGGTGTCAACCCTTGACAACTTTTGGTTTCCAAACCAGAGTGGGTATGTAGACCAAATCAAATAAACTATGTATACATCAATCACACACATGTGATAATCTTGGATACAGGAATAGAAAGAGAAAAATAAGGGGGAGAAAATGGATGGATCCGTCCAGGGAATTATGTAAGCACTGAAGGACCATTAACCTCCAGGCATGCCATTCATTTTGCAGCTTGTTCATCAGGTGAACTCATTGCTCTGGAATGAGCTGACATCTGTGACAAGCTATTGGTTTTGAAAACAAGGTCAGTTTAGCGACGTGATGGATGATCTTTGAAGACATGATCCAAAAAGAAGAGCTCACTAGGTCTTCGCGCATTAAAGCGTTTATCAGGTCCATGCTCGGTCCAACTACATTCGAAGCTCTTGGCCGTCTTTTTCTCCTGGGCCTCTTTAATCAACATAACCATCCAGATCATCTTCCGATGTATCAGTCCTCCAGGTCTGGCGCATCAAGAACATCGCCACCTGAAGAACCCAGCGCTTCATCAATCACTTACCGACCCACAAGTTCGCATTATAGGCTAGAAACGTGTCCACATAAATGTCCTGATACGTCTGGCTCAGCGTGTTGTCCGGGTTGTACTCCCGGCATTGTTTGAACATGAAATCTTTCCCTGCAGATGTTCTCGTCCAACGAAAGCATGAAAAAAAAAAAAAAAAAATGTCACAATCATCAGTCAAAAAAGTAGTCGGAATGCTTCCTCTTCATTATCGGGACAGAATTCCCAACTTACAACCGTATCCAGCATGCTCACAAGAGTCGTCCGCGCATGAAAATTCCTGTTGCTCATCGGTCATACAATCTGTGTATATATAATGAATGAATGGACATATAAGTTGGGAATCGAGGTCTCGAATGAGGACCAGTAAAACTTTTGGCTAGGAGAAAAAGAAAAAGAAAAAAAAGCGATTGATTGAAGCTGCTTAACTGAAAAACCCGGGATCTCCGTGCAACAGATGTATCCCACATCGGGCTGAGACGGGGGGTTTACTAGACTTGGTCGTCGATGCAAGACTGGGGGAGAACCGGAAGAGACCAATGACCGTGAATGAGACGAGAAGGGCGTTGTGCAAGAAGTGTGTGAGGAACATTCTGGAGAGAGTGAGGCTACTAGGATTACAACTTGAGATGTTATGAGAGAGAGAGAGAGATTCAAGCCTGCTAAAAGTATCCCCTGTGGCCGGACAGAGAGACAAGCGAAGGTATGAAGATGCTAGGGAATGGAACACACTGGACGCGAGAGCGGCTCTGGAGGCTTTTTTCAAATCCTCTTCTACGCGATCACTCTGCTACAAATAGTTGTTCCCATTAAAGCAAGCTTGCTCTGCCGGCTGGAACACCCTTATACATCACATGATGGCTTCCATGTAAGCACAGTTTGAACTAGAAAAAAACAAAAACAAGAAACCTGCCGCTGCCACACGCATGTGGAGCCTCGTTTCCGGAGTCATACCGACGAAGAAGTTCCGGCTTCCTTGAGGGCGCGTCTATCCATACAAAGTAGTGAGTAAATGGCCTGAACGGCGGGGCGGGGACAGCCCTTAACTACCACGAGTTTCCCACTGCCGACGATATCCTTTTCTTAGCTGTGTGACTGGAGCCGGCTGAAGAAGATTACATACATGACCAATGCCTCCATCGACTGCATCTTCCAATGGTCGGAATCCCCATCGGGCTTGACGACGGGCTCATCATCATGTATATGTAAGTTGAACTAAATCATGGTCCCTCCGAAGGAATTAGCGCGAAGCTGGAAGCGCGACCTCCGGAGAATGCGAGCCTGATAAACTTAGGGACTTGCAGGTCAACCGGCTCCCAAAAATTCGAGAGTCGATCACTCCCAAACCCGGGCTTCCCCGAAATTTGGGAGTCGATTCCCCAAATCCATCCTTGGGGTTGGGAGTCGGTCCCCCAAAAAAATTTAAAGAAAAAAAAAAAGAAAAACCCCGGAGGGGTTGGGCGTCGATGCCCCAAAACCAAGTGGTTTTGGGGGGTCGGTGATCAAAAAAAAAAAAAAACCAGGCCGCGGAGAGTGCGGCTTTAGGGGTGTTTTGGGTAGGGTGCACAGGTGAGCTTATTATAAGAAGAAGAGATCGTCGGCAGTGGAAAAACTTTTGGTACGTAGTTAAGGTCTGTCCCCGCCCCGCCGTTCAGGCCATTTACTCACTACTTTGTATGGATAGACGCGCCCTCAAGGAAGCCGGAACTTCTTCGTCGGTATGACTCCGGAAACGAGGCTCCACATGTCTGTGGCAGCGGCAGGTTTCTTGTTTTTTTCTAGTTCAAACTGTGCTGACATGGAAACCATCATGTTATGAGGGTGTTCCAGCCGGCAGAGCAAGCTTGGTTTGGGAACAACTATGTGGAAGAGTGATCGCGCAGAAGAGGTTTTAAAAACAACCTCCAGAGCCGCTCTCGCGTCCAGTGTGTTCCATTCCCTATCATCTTCATACTATAGCTTGTCTCTCTGTCCGGCCACAAGGGATACTTTAGCAGGCTTGAATCTCTCTTTCTCATAACATATCAAGCTGTAATCCTAGCCTCCCATCCAGAATCATCATGAGAATTTTCCTCAAACACTTCTTGCACAACGCCCTTCTTGTCTCATTCACCGTCATTGTTCTCTCCCGTTTCCCCACCAGCCTTGCATCGACGACCAAGTCTGGACCCCCCGTATCAGCCCGATGTGGCATACACATGTACCACGGAGATCCAGGGTTTTTCAGTTAAGCAGCTTCAATCAATCCATTTTTTCTTTTTCTTTTTCCTAGCCAAAAATTTCTACTGGTCCTCATTCGAGAGCTCGATTCCTAACTATGTCCATTCTTCATTATATACACAGATTGTATGACCGATGAGCATCAGGAATTTTCCTGCGCGGACGACTCTTGTGAACATGCTGGATACGGTTGTAAGTTGAGAGTTCGGCCTCGATGATGAAGAGCAAGCATTACGACCACTCAAATTGACTGAAGATCGTGACATTTTTTTTCTCATGGTTTTGTTGGGCGAGAACATGAGGGAAAGATTTCATGTTCAAACAATGCCAGGCGTACAACCCGGACAACACGCTGAGCCAGACCTATCAGGACATATATGTGGACACGTTTCTAGCCTTTAATGCGGACTTGTGGGTCGGTAAGTCATTGATGAAGCGCTGGATTCTTCAGGTGTCGATGTTCTTGATGCGCCAGACCTGGGCGACTGATACATAGGAAGATGATGCGGATTGTTATGTTATGTATGTAGAGGCCCAGGAGAAAAAGACGGCCAAGAGCTTTGTATGTAGTTGGACCGAGCATGGACCTGATAAACGCTTTAACGCGCGAAGACCTAGTAAGCTCTTTTGGATCATGTCTTCAAATAACTTCCATGACGTCGCTAAACTGACTTGTTTTCAAAACCAATAGCATGCCACAAATGTCGGCTCATAATTCCAGAGCAATGAGTTTACACAGCGGGCTCACTTTTTTGATTCCGAGACGTTGGATTTGTCGTGATGGTGGAGATCACATCGGATCCAGCCTTCAGGACGTTAACAACCACATCGGTGTTGTCCTCATGTAGCCTACGACGTTAACACAACACTGAACGACGCAGGTGTTGTGAACACGTCTTCACCAATGTCAACAATGACAACACAGGCTCCCCTGTCAGAGAACAGGGCCATTGTTTTTGATGTTTCAGTGGAAACCACATCGGATTCAACAATCCGATTTGATCCGCTGCTCACCCCATCTTGACCAGGGCGGCACAGATCGGTTCTTCTGCCCGACTCCCTGCTACAACGTCGTGAACGACGTCAAATTATTATTTTTTTCAAGACGTCACAAATGTGTCTCAAGTGGGTTTTTTTACCCTGAAAATTCGAGAAAATTGATCATTGAAAAAAAAAAAAAATTGTGATGAAAGAGGGGACTTAGAAAAAAAAAATTATTGACTACACAACTGAACAACAAGGAGGTGGTACTAAACCTGTAAAACTCGCGTCTCGGTCAGCGAGTGGTTTGTAGTAGGATCGGCTAAGATGGCCGCTGTCGTTGGCAACGTTGCAAGGGATCGATTCCCGTGCTAGATTTCTTTTGCTGCCAGCAACAGCCCATAATACTGCAAGCTCGGTCTGCTTTCTCATCCTCATTTTGAGGGATGAGATAGTTGGCTTTTGATGTCCAATTCTCATCATCAACAACATCTTGGCCAACGAGGGCTGTGATGCAAAAATGATGTAGGGCATGGGTGGATGTCATTTCACATCTAATTTCCCATTCAGTGAATGATGTCGATTCGACATGAATTCCACCGACGAGGTGGCATCGGGGTGAGCCCGCTGTGTACCTGATGAACAAGCTGCAAATTAAATGGCATGCCTGGAGGTTGGTCCTTCAGTGCTTGATTCCCTGGACGGATCCATCCATTTTCTCCCCCTTATTTCTTTTTCTTATGGATCTTTGTATTCCTGTATCCAAGATTATCACATGTGTGTGATTGATGCATACATTGTTTGTTTGATTTGATCTACATACCCACTCTGGGTTGGAAAACAAAAGTTGTCAAGGGTTGACACCTGATCTCTGTATGTTACCTTTTGCCATGTTCCAGCTCATGACCAAGTGTAGATCTCCATTAAAGCCTTGAAACAGCGTGTTGAATACATTGTACTCAAGAGACAGTTGACTTTCATAAGCTTTTATTTTGAAGAAGAAGAAAATAAATGGAGAAGAAAAGTTGACTGGCTGGAAGGCCAGGTTCCATATAACTCCCCCACTAGCCGTCTTGCAAACCAAACTGCACAACATCACTTAAACGCAGCCTTCTACCAGTCAAACAGAACCAATGAAAACCCTCATGAACCCTCTCTTTCCTTCCCACACTGTAGTATGTCAATTGTGTTTCAAGTATCAAATTGCATAAAGTCACAGTCCAATATGTAGAAGGGCATATATTCTTAGGAGTATTATGGTATAATCACACTCTACAGGTCATTTAACCCATAGTCACTCACTGGAACCACTAGGCTAGCTCCACTCAGTCAAAAGTTATTTGGGATTTAAATTTTATTTGCATACAAAATGCTTATTGCATAATGTAAACCACAAGTGGGCCTTAGTTTTTTTACATATTCAATATTCATTGCATAGTGTAACCCCAAGTTGGCCACATTGTTTGTAGGTACACTGAGAATTTTGTAAAGTAGCCAAACCACAATTCGGCCAGATTTTGGATGCATATTCATTATAGTTTAGGGCTAGAACCACAAATTGGCCATTTATAGATTATTGGTTAGGGCTAGAACCACATATCAGCCCGGTTGTAAAATAGACTATTTGAGAAGGGGCTTTCCCCCTCATTCCAACTTTTCATCATCTCATCACATCAGATCATCATCTCATCTGACCAGCAACCAGACAGAACAGAGCAATCAATCCATACATTAACCAGTGTGATCTTAATCAAGTGCCCCATTGAGATCATTCAGACTTTGAGAAGCATAGAAAAAGGAAAGAAAACAACCAGTACAACTTGTGATCTTAAAACAAGAGACAGTGATCTTACACCATTGTGCTCCCAACCAGGGTTAAGGAAGAGGAAAAAGACCCCTGAATAAGCACAATTTTTTTCAAGTAGTAGCTCATGAATTCTCATTCATTATCAGTATATACACCAATCATTTTTCAAAATACATAAAACATATGAAAAGAAAACAAAACACATCTTATTCAAAAATTTCACTCCACTAGTCTGCTGAATTCATGTTGATCTAGGCACCAATCATTTTTCAAAATACATAAAACATATGAAAAGAAAACAAAACACATCTTATTCAAAAATTTCACTCCACTAGTCTGCTGAATTCATGTTGATCTAGGTTTGATAAGAGACTGCTACCCATAGGTTTTTTCTCTATCATCAGTTTTGCCACAACAATAAATAAATTGTTGTGTTAACTCTTGTGTAGTACAATAGAGGGGCAGGTCTTTCATACCAGCCGTAACAGTTGTAGAAGATCATTACATACGTGATATATCTCATCTGCTATTTCCCCCTCACAGGACTGCCACCATTCCCAAAGGAGTTCTCACAACACTCCCCTCCATTCATGACCTGATGGTGATCATAATCATCAACAGCAACAACAAAAAACATTCATACACTGCATCTTTTCTATCTTTTTCCTTTTTTTTGTTT